CGTAATTAGAAGATTTAGAAGCTTGCCTCGCGAACCTTTCAGGCGGTGGCCATCCAGACCGAAGAGGCAGTGGACTTTGAGCATCCTCAAACTATGCTCTCTTGCCTTTTCCAGACGCATGTCTTCAGGAACCAGCAGTTTACTACACTGCATTACAATAATTACAATGCTAAAAGATGCTAAAAGTGTGCCTACTTTTTAAGCACCACGAGGTCCAGGCACCAAGCCCTTCAGAGTTCAAGAGTTGCAGTCTGTTTGGTCGTCGGAGGCACCTCCCTCGCAACTGCTGCAGCCGCTGCTGTCTGGTCCAGCGGTGCCTTCAAGCAAGCCCAAAGTGCGCAGAAAGCAAAAGGAAGAGATCAAGGACAAGCGCTTGTGTGCAGAGTGAACCCGGCCGATAGGGTGGTGGCACTGGCATGATGTTTGCGCAGACACTGCCTCACAACAAGCTTGGAGCTGCTCAAATATGATCCCCTATATATACATGGCTGTTGTTGAGATTCCTGGCGTTCTTTCGATGCAGTTGGTCAAAGTATTTGATGAGCTTGCATGCTTTGCCTTTCAGGAAATTCCGATACAGTACCAAGACTGCTTCTTGGCCAACCCAGTGTAAAGAAGACAATAATTGAGCAACAGCGGTGCACGAAAGACTTGAACATGCTTGAAGATCTTAAAAATTAATGTCTTCATATGTCTTAATGAGAGTCTCAAAGCCAATATTTGTCGGTCCTATTCCCTCAGGTAGCTGTGGGAGAATCATTTTCAGCAACTCGATGAAGTTTATCTTGGCTTGTGCTTTGCTCGTTGCAGCGATGTGGTGCGCTGAAAACTACGACGAGGCAAGTTAAACGAACCACATCAACACAGCTTTGGCCAGAAGATGAAATAGTTACTTTCATTTGCTTTCAGACTTAGACTTTGCGCCTGTTGCATCCTGTTGCTCTTTGGTGTGAGAACTGATTTTCGGAGTTGCAGAAGGCCACAGGACACCAATGGGGAAAGGCCAAATTCTGTCCTGACATCTCTGATCTTTGTGGCAGGTGGTGAAGTTCTTCAATGGCCCGTTCCGAAAGCAGGCGACAGCTTGTTTTCTTTTTGCTCTTTGTCTTCCAATGTCCTTGTGCTAAACATCCATATAATAACATTCCTATAGCATCCTGTCCTCTCCTGTCCTACTGTCCTACTGTCCTACTGTATAGCTTCTCTTCGGCCATTTTCCCAGGCCATGGCCACCTTTCCTAAAATGTTTGTCCACAGTCTCACGAGAGGAAGCAGCAATTTAGCATGATGTAGCCATCAGATGCCATCAGCTGGTTTGTGATTTTGATATTCTTTGAGCGCTTTTCGTGCTTCGACTTCTGACTTGGTGTGCGACAGAGTCACGTAGAAATATCGGCACGCCCCTGGCCAGGGCATAATCGATTTGCACAGCAGACTCTTTGTCCTATTTTTGTCCCTATTTCTCGATGTCGTGATTTGTTCGCAGCTTTTCCGACTGCATATCACCATATATCACCCTACATATCCCTAGATGAAGAAAGCTGGACGTGCCTGCATACAAGTTTGCATAGAAGCATGCGTGAAGATCTTGACGTGTCACAGTTGGTAGCTGCATGTAGTTGCAAAATGTGGTACACAGGAGCCTGCGGCAACCGCGCGTGGAACACTCAAGCCATCTCAAGCCATCTCAAGCCATCTCAAGCCATCTCAAGCCTCAATGCTGTGTGGCGACTGGTTTGACTATGTTTGACTGTGCTTCTGGGTGCTCGCGTCAAGACATGTCGGGACTGGTCCAAGGTGCAGGTTCAAAGAAGGACCACAAGAAGGACCAGAAATCTACGGAGTCGAAGGAGTCAAAGCACTCGTCGCGTCCACATCATGAAGAGCACCTGAGCTGCAGATGAACAGAAGGCAGAGGTATGCAGAGGTGATAGATGAATATAGATGATATGACGATATATGAGGTATGAATAGGTATGATACGTGAATCCAACGTGAGGGATGTCTTGAGTTCAGGAGCTCAGAAAGTGCTCTGGAGCTTCAGTGAATCAAAGATGTTTTGAGATTCAGTCATTGGGCAGATCCACCAAGCTGGTGCATGTCACTCAGGAAGCCGGAATCTCACTCCCATGGAGGCTGAGAGATGATGGGGAGATGCTGGGGAGATGCTGGGGGAGATGCTGGGAGTTGCATAGAAGTTGCGCGTTTTCCATCGTTTTCCGACATCCAACGCAAATCCAACATGGGCAGGAACTGGACGACAAGGTGAGGAAGGCAGGATGCACCCAACTCCGCGACCGATGACGGATTTGCAGCCACTTGGCGTGGGATCATATCGGAAGATGTCGGAAAGATGGCAATTTGATGCAATTTGTGGACGTCCCAAAAACTGAATAAAATATGATAAAACATGATAAAACTGGCATCTGCAGCCTATGCAGCTGTCTCTATTTTCCCAAGGCTTGCCAAGGAAGAGTGCCTGGCTGAGCTGCATTCGAAATGAGTTTTGCAATGCTCTGCAAGATGTTGCGACTCTTGTGCTATCGTTGACTTGAAATCTGGTCAGACATATTCAAAAAAAACAAACACATATGGTTATCATATGTTATCATGTTACATCCCACATGGTTGCGCTGACTCTTGATGCGTTTCTTCACTTGTTTCGGGTCACAAGTGCCAAGGCTTAAGATGGAACTGAAGAAACTCGAGCGCTTGGACCAGGAAATCGAACCCTCAACCTTCAACTCTAGAAATCTCATGAAAACTCTAAGGCAGAGTAAAGCATCTAGCGCATTCGAACATATTCGAACATATTTCTAAAATTCTAAAACATTCCAAGACTTTAGTATGTGAATGACCGTGGCATGCGGTCCTTTGTGTTGCGACTGCTCTAAACTTCACCAGGAGCAAGCACAGACAGCAAGAGTTGGTGAACTGGCTCGATTGTCGCAGAAAGAGCTGGAGTCCCAGCTCGTGGGCAAGATGGATGTTCATTCACTCAAAACATCCCCACACGTCACACTGCGTCCTACATATGATACATTTTTTTTTGTTTTTTGATTATTCAGAAATTGTGACGAAGTGCCACCCTCCCAAATGACTGGGGGGGGGCAGGGCGGGCAGAAAAATGGCGGGTTAATTTTTTTTGGACAGGAACGAACACCAAGCAGCACAGTCCCAAAACAAGACACTTGGAAGCATTCCATTGGCGGCAAGGTCGATCTGTTCCGTTTCGCGTGAAAATTACAGTATTGGAATGACTTAAAAAAAACTTATGTGTTGCATTTTGCATTTCAAATTGACTTAATTTTATCATCGTGGTTTTACTTCATTGCAATGGCAATTGCAATATGTTAACAGTTAAACATCCAAACCAACGTTTCGCAAGGAAACGCAAACTAGAGGGCACTCCGATTGGCATGATCTAGATGGCCACTTCCTTCCTGGTTTAGAGTGCACAAAACCTCGCAGCAGGTGCATGAAGGGTTGGTTTGAAATAGTGGTTTCGACCAGGGCATTGAGGCTCAAATCCGCAAATAGGTCACCACAGGGAACTCAACCTTCGCCCTTGCCTGCAAGCCATGAGCCAATCGCAAGTCTCCAAAAAGAGAAAATTCGTTGCCGATGGTTTCTTGACTGCAAGTATTTTTTTGGCAAGGTTTGTCGTTGAAAATCATGAACCGCACCGGAATTACATTAAACATATTAAACGGCCAGCATTTCAGCATTTTCATTTTATATGATCTATATGTGTTTTGTTTTTCCTTCCCTTGTTGCATTTTTGGCCAGCATAGGTGTCTTCAATGCTGAACTCAACGAATTCTTGGCTCGCACTTTGGGAGAAGACGGCTATGCCGGAGTGGAAGTGCGCGTGACGCCCATTCGAACTGAGATCATCATCCGTGCAACCAGGACACATGTGTGATTTGTTTGTTGATTCCAGATATTGGCATTCTCACTGCCTCCCATTGCCTCTCACTCCTTTCGCTGCCTTTCAGTTTTTTGCACATATGCCCTGTTTGAGTTTTGTTCAAAGGACCCGCGAGGTTCTTGGCGAGAAGGGCCGTCGAATTCGGGAGCTGACAGCTCTCGTCCAAAAGCGTTTTGGTTTTCCAGAGTTCTTTGGCTCAAAACAGAAAGGGCAAAACCCAAACCATGTCATGGCGTGGACCATATTTATCAATGTATTAATATTGCTTATATACACCATGTCTCTTGAGAAAGGGATGATTTCGGGCAGAATCATATAAGATGTCAGAGTCCGAAAACAATAAACTGTCTCGAGAGGAACAAAGTAGAATTGTAGAGAAAATACACGTCTCATTTGCGCTTGTGTTGACCCTTCTCAGGAACAGTGTCGAGCTCTTTGCCGAGCGGGTGGAGAATCGTGCCAGCTGCGCCATGGTAACTTGAACCATCTTGAACCAAAGGGTCGAAGGGATTGATGAAATGTGAGTCGAAGGGTACAGAAAATGTTTGTACTTTGCCTCTGTATCCTCTGTACTTTGCCTCAACACAGTCCAACAGAATTCAACCAAAGGCAAACACATGATCTCACGTTATCCCATTGTTATATATTGTTATCTTATTTTATCGTATATGATTTATTGTAATTTCATGTTGCTTATCAGGTCAGGTGACCTGGTTCTAATTTTTGGTATTTTTGCAAGTATTTGCACTGGGACTTGAGATGACTTGAGGCTCAGTGCGAGTCTCTTCGCTTCAAACTCATTGGTGGCCTGGCCGTCCGCCGTGCCTGCTACGGTGTTCTCAGGCTCGCCACAAAACATCAAGAAAACAAGTAGCAAACAAATTGACATATGCACCCGATGGCACCTAGGTCCCTTTTCAAAGTTTCCATATTGTTCGATGTACTCATATCCTTCTGATTTTTCTGCCTGGTCTCCTGCCATGGTTTTGGATGGGTTTTGATCGAACAAAACCACAGACTACTGGCCTCTGTTCTCACGGGCCGGCAGATTCATCATGGAGAACGGTGCCAAGGGTGTGGAGGTCATCATCAGCGGCAAGTTGCGTGCGCAGCGTGCCAAGGTCAGGGATTTTGAGTTTTGCGTCGGGGTGTCTTTGTCCAAACAGTCGGTTTTTGCAGGTTTTTGAGTTTCGATGGCTTTAGTGGAGGTAAATGTTCATGATTGATCACAATTGTTCATGATGACAATCATTTTATCGATATTCTGGGAGATGAATTTGCGATTTGAGAGTCCCCTCTGTTAAATGACAAATAGAAGGAAAACGAGTTGAAACTTCACCGCTTCTGGCTCCAGGCAATGAAGTTTAGACAGGGCTATTTGATCTCCACTGGAGAGCCGAAGAGGCACTACATCTCGGAGGCTGTTCGACACGTGCAGATGCGACAGGGAACCATCGGCATCAAGGTGGCTTGGTTTTCTAAAGTTTTCTCACTTCAAGCTTCGTTATCCTTCAGAATTCCCACTGTTCACATCCGTCCACTTGCCAGGGATGTATAATGATGTATATATTATATTTATATATATATATATAATTTTGTGGAGCTTAGCAAGGTGGGCGAAATTGAAGCATGTTTTTCTAACCTTCTCCATTTTGTTCTTTTTGTTTGGTGGATGGCACAGCTTGCTACCCGTAGAAAGGCACTACTTAAAAAGGTGTAGGGCCAGGTGCATACTGTCAAGCGATTGCGCATTTGCCAAATTGCGTTTGTCGATGGATTTTGAGGTTAAGATCATGATGTCGCACGATCCTGAAGGTGGGAATGGGAATGGTTGTGCTGCCTAATATGCTTGAGTCAAACTTGCACAGTCGATCAAAGTCCATATCCATGAGTTCCATCTTCATTTTCTTCTGAGAGCAATGTCCCCGGAATTCTCCACAAGAGATGTCACTGACTGCGCGCTGGGTAGATAAGCAGATGTGAGCACGTGCCCGTGCCAGGCAAGATGGGACCAAAGATGCAGTTGCCTGACAACGTGGTTGTCCATGAGCCAAAGGAAGAGGCGGTGCCAATGATGCCACCCCCAGAGCAAGAGGAGCAGCAGTATGGCGGCGGCTACAACCAGGGATACAACAACCAGGGCTACAACCAAGGCTACAACCAGGGCTACCAACAACAGGAGGGTTACTGATGCTTGTCGCAAGTAGGCCAACTTTTCTTTTGAACATTGTATTGAAAGAAATTTCGGTGTCCAAGCATATCCAAGCTGTCCACATGACCAACACAGGGCCACCTTCTTTACTAACTAAGGAGATGGCTTCATGAGGACCTGGTGACAAATGGGTGACAAATGCGGGTTTGCCAAAAAAGAAAACATTGGAGTGGAATTTGTGCAATTGCGGCATGATGCGGCATATGTGTGTCGGTATGAATTTTATTGACTTCGAGCTCAGTGTCTGAGATATTACGTAGTACCGAGTCAGAAATTCACCAAGGATCACTACAGTAGTAGGGTATGTGTCAAGTTTATGGCTCAAAATTCTGCACAAATCTAATACTTTATCATCCAGTATTGGCGGGTATGCAATTCTTGACCCATCCGCACTTGCCCTTGGGCGAGAGGAAATTGCATGAATTTGGCAGGGACATTCCGGCTCAAGTCCGCATTGTTGACGCTCGCCATGAGCCAGTCACAGGTCTCCAAGAAGCGAAAGTTTGTGGCAGATGGTGCCTGGACCAAAATGGCACACATTGGAGGAAACATGATGAAACAGAAATTAGTAGCAATGTACATACAGCAATGTATAGCATCATTTCTGCGGCAGACATGATCTTCCTTCATTGATTCTTTTAAGGTGCGTGCCTTCAAAAAATTGTTTGTTGGGTAGAATAATTCCTCTTTAATGTTTTGAAACCCATTGTAATCCAACGTCACATTTTGACATCATCTTGGAGCAACATCATCTTGGAGCATCAGGTGTTTTCAACGCCGAGTTGAATGAGTTCCTGGCACGCACACTGGGTGAAGACGGATATGCGGGTGTGGAAGTGCGTGTCACTCCTATCCGCACTGAGATCATCATTCGGGCCACCAGGACACAAGTTGAGACTGTTGAGCATCAAAAAATCAAACATTCTTCAAACATCTTTCACGTCTACCAGAGTCTACCATTTTGAGGCGTGACAACTTTGTGAAACTGAAATGAGTGGCATGCTTTGAAACCTTTGACCAGGACTCGTGAGGTCTTGGGAGAGAAGGGACGCCGAATTCGTGAACTCACAGCACTGGTGCAGAAACGTTTTGGCTTTCCCGAGTGCCTTGGTGCGATGTCCAGCTCAGATGCCAATCTGATTCGAAGTGCATGAGCATAACATAGAAAAACTCATGACCATCATGATTTGAAAGAGCAGTTGAATAATGTTGAATAAGTTCATTTTCATCATTTCTTTTTCGAGGGCCTTCAGCAAACAACCAGCTAGTCGGAGGTGTTGCACTTTCGGATGTGCAAAAACTAGCTGCTAAGGAACAGCGTGGAACTGTTCGCAGAGAGAGTGGAGAACCGCGCTAGCTGCGCCATGGCAACTCAGCAGAACAACAGAAATAGATACGATATACAGTAAATAATATAATACTGTATAATATAATCTAATAACTGTATAATATATATATATATATAATGTAATACATGATATGTATATATATATATATAAATAGTATATATACATCTAATGTAATACATAATATATATATGTGGCAGGGACCTTTGGGGTCTATTTCGTTCCTCCTCGCACAAACGTAATCAAACGTCATTCTATATGCATATATACTATATACACAAGTAAATATGTCTACATGTGTGTACAAGTTCAACAGAAAGTCGCAATTTTTTCCCTTGCCCCTCAACCTGCGCAGCGTCCGTTTTCTGCTCCAAGAGATGCTGTCACCAGCACGCGCGAACGCACGCCAATTTGAACTCTGGGCAGAAGAGTCCTCCAGTGTCAATTGTGTTGCTTTCCATCCCTGCAAGCTACAAAGTTTTGGAGCATGCAAGTTTGGGACTCTTGTGCGCTCATGCATGGGAATGTTTTGGTTGTCAGGAGTTTGTAGTTGCAGTTGCAATCTTAGTATTAAGCATAGTTTTATAGAAAAAACCTTAAAGGAACCTCATGGGCATGTAACACAAGCAACAAAGCAATGCAAACATGTTCCACCACTTCCACCTGTAGTGATGAAGAGGGAGGGTGATGGCGGCCAACCCCTTCATTTTGTCATACTCATCACTTCATTGTTTTTGGCCCCGCTGTCGTCCCCTCTCAGGATCCTTTGAATGAAGAAGAGTTGCAAAAGCAGACCTTGGACCTCTTGGTGAACTTTGCATACAGGCTGCAGATGGATGGCCTGATGCCTGACCTGCCAGAACAGCCACCAGGTGAGCCCAGTAGTGGATCTGGTTTTCTGCGAGAAGTGGAAGGTTCTAAACCTAAACACCCAGGTGCACCACTACTTGAAGCTTCTATGGCAATGGCACCTGGCCCAAGTCCAGGTATCTGCGCGTCTTCACCAGCCAGTGCAACTACGGTTTTGCCAGTTCAACCTGATGTTGGTTTGTTGGCACCTGCCACTCCTGAAGTACCCCCTCTGAGGCTTCAGCAGCATGCATCCCCAAAGAACTACCTGGTCCAGTTCCAGAAGCAATGGGGGAGGTTGACCTGTACTCCTGACCAGGTGAAGAAGCTTCTTTATTGCACCAAACAAAAAGGCTCTCAAGCTTCGACTGGGCCGTCCTCTACTCAAGATGTATCTGATAGGAAATTCATACATTTTCTCAAGCATCATATGTTTCTATGGTTTTGCTTTCTGTGTGGGATTCAAGTTTCTTGATCTATGCATTTAGTATTGTTCATTCTCAGGTACCAGAGTTCGTGCCTCCTCGAGGAACTTCTAGTGGAGGTTGGTTCAGGAAAGTTTCTGGGCTAGTAGTTGCTTGGAAGCTTGGAGAAGCGCACAGGATGAGATGCCTACTATAACGATGGGAAGAGGTTTTACGGGTGAAGGCGTATGTGGCAGCTTTGGTGGGCTACGTCAAAAAGTGTGGATGGCAAAAGAACTTGGAGGGTGAGTATGGCTTGAACACTTGTACTCGCCTAAGATCTTACTGACTCCAGCAAAGCCTGGGTGGTTTAAAAAAACCTTATATCAAACTATCAAACAGTAAGAATTTCAATTCTGTTTCTGAATTGAAAATAAAGCAGTCGCAATTTTCAATTCGGAAATCGAAATTGAAAATCCAACAGTCACCATTTCAATTCAGAAATTTAAATTGAAAATCAAACAGTCGCCATTTAAATTCAGAAATCTAATAGAAAATCAAACATTCACCATTTCAATCAGAAATCTACCTTGAAAATCAAACGATCACCATTTCAATTCAGAATTCCAAATTGAAAATCAAACAATCTCCATGTCAATTCAGAAATCTAAATTGGAAAACAAACAGTTGGCATTTCAATTCAGAACCTTAACTTGAACCTACAATAGTATATTGTTTACTTTTCAGATTTTGATATTAATTTGGTTTACTATTTGGCACAACTATCAAAAAAAATAATGTAATTTTTACATAAGCAGCCTTTAGGGCTTTCATTTTTTTAGCCAAAAAGCACATTGATGCTTTCATTTTTTGAAGCTGTCACAAGTATAGCACATTGATGCTTCAGGTTTTGGTGTTCCATTAGTGCATCAGACATGTGTCCTTTGCATTTCTTGTCAAGGTGTAAGCTGTCAGGATGTCCAGTAATAGGGGTCAGGCACGGGGTTCAGCCACTGATCCAATGGTATCTCGACAGTTTCAAACCTGGACCTCATCCAATGGATGGAAGAGCCTCTGGTATGTCGAGATTCATCAATCAGGCTTTGATTCTTGGTTACCAGGTTGAAATTCATCATGTTTTTAAAGCATACGGGAACTCAGGTAGTATGAGGATAGACGTAAACAAATTGCTCGCTTGCTCAGGCAGGATGCTCTTGAGCACTTCAAGCAGAATGAAGGCCCACATCTTTTGCCTGCCAGCCTGAAGAACTTGATCAAAATCAGTTACATGTTGGCTGGGATCCCTGTTCCTTCTGGCGACGCTATCTGCGCCTGATAGCTGCAGCTGTATGCCCATAGTGCATGGAAAGCCTGGATGAAAACATACTTGGGTGGAATCAAAATACTGTGGGGGGAGAAAAAATATTTTAAAAAAACACCATGTGGTGTACTTGTTTTCTTCTGGCCCAGTGGCCTTTCCTGCTATTCTGAAACTATTGTGGTTTATGCCCAAGGGGCTTTCATGTAAAGGTCCAGGGTTGGGTATGAGAGCCCACTGAAGTTTATATGCTTCTAACCTTAAAGGGTCCCAGAACCCATTCCCACCGACTCTTGCTACAGGTTTTGCTGATAGGGCTTTCATTTAATTTTGTAAACTAAATTGTTTCTGCCCAAAGGGGCTTTCATGTAAAGGCTTAAACTCCTTTATCCCATGCCCAAAGGAGCTGTCATAATTCTAACTTTGAAGGTTAGCAGAATCAATTCTCTTCTGCTTCTGCTGCAGTGGGCCCATAGGAATTGTGGGCTCACCTTAGCCTAGATCCTTTGATCACCATGGCTACTTTGGGACGTTGAGGACTTAGTCAAGGAGATTAGTGATATGGAAGCGATTTACCAAAGGAACGCTGGTTCACAGCTGGTGCCACGAATGCAGGAAGCTTTGCAGTCCAAAGTGAACGGTGTCCAAATGCTCACTGCTTCTAACTTCTTGAAGCGTCCTGATGCTGTTCAAAATGGCATCTTGACTGCTCACACGAAGGCAGAGTTGCAAGCATTTCTCGAATCAAGGGCAGCCTCTTCAATCCAAGGGGCCACCAGGTTGCAGGCTACACCTCAAAGCATGACCACGCCTTGGAACTACCTGTCCCAAAGCGAATGGCAGCAGATGCAGAATGGCATCGACACAGTTGATGCTACCCACATGCTGATCAAAAGAATCAAAGTGTGTGGGTTGAAAAGCCTCAAAGAAGACACCAAGAAGTACTTGACATCCTTTTTGGTCAGCCTTCAGGTGAAATCACCAATGTCTTGCCTCCAGTTTTTGACATGTACAAATTTTGTGCTGGATACGTTCGAGGCTGTGGTGGCTCAACCTCTGCATGCTGGTTTGGCAAGGTACCCTCCTAGCCCCCACGACATTGGGGAGGCACTGGGTTTGTAGAATCTTTGGTGATGGCTGCTTTCAAGCTGATAATTTTGAAGTCAAAATTTAGCCATGACATAATCCCTGAACACACACACATGGACACGTATACATATTTCCATTTGAACATAAACACTTGCAGGCTTTCTGCTTGCTCGCTACCAGTCATATGATAAACCTTGGAAGCATTGCCAAGAAAGTCACGGTGAGCGGAACTGCCAAGGAACTCAGGGCTGTGGCCACTATAGAGGCAACCTCTCCGCAGTTGCCAGCAGAGCCTTCGACAGGGAAAGATCCTACAAACAGTATGGTGACCACCCATCTCTTTGACATGATGGAGAAACAGGCCAGAGCTTTGGATGCCTTGAGCCAGAAAATCTTGAACAACGATAGCTTGGAGAAGCCTCCTTCCAGCAACTCCTTGCTCTCAGATGGGGCCGGCCCAAGGGACTCCTGACTCCCAAAGCTTTGCCGGCAGTTCCAGCTGTTTTGCCTCTACCTGCACCTTCTGACTGTGCTGCACCTGCTGGAGGAAATGATGGCACCGAGGCAAAAGCCTTGAGGACTATGAAGCTGAGGCCAAACACATGCTCACCAAGAGGAAGGGCAATGATTTGGATACTGCCATGAAGAGGCCAGCTTCTAAGAAAACCCTAGCCAAAGCAGAGCCCAAGCAAAAGGCCATTGTGAAGAAGAATGCTGAGGAAGCAAAGCATGTCACACCAGCTTTCCTCAAAGGAATCTATGGATGTGTCAGATGCCGTGGCAGTGTGAGTGGCTGTGACAAGTGCCAGTCTCCCTACTTTGGGGGGACTCAGTCTCAGTTCAAGACAGGAATACAACAAGTGGTAACAAGAAAGGCAGCAGGGGAACAAAAGGAAGTGTAAATATTTCCCTTGGTCAGACAAAAGATCGTGGGCTGCCTTGTGGTAAATAACCATGCAAACACAGCAATGGTAAATCATACAGGCAGTGGGGGAAAACAGAAACGCTTAGGCTTTCTCTTGACATACTTATCTAGACAGATTTTCCAGCATGAAAGTAAGTGACCACTAACTTGCAGTGCTGCCCTTGGTTCTGCTTGTTGTTTTTCAGTTTTGGCTTCAAGAGCTATCATTTGAAATCCGTTTGCCTGCAAGGGCTTTTTTGTTTGAATATGTTTGAATCAGTAACACAGCATTGTGGGCACAGCTTTCTGCAAGGCTACTGCATGAAGCAAGGCCTGGCCCAAGGCAATGTGTGCCAAATCTGCAAATGATATATTTGGAGGCCATGTTAGCAGCAGGTTCCGCAGCAGGCCATGGAACACTATTTTTTGCCTTTCACACAGTCATACTCCAACATTGTCCAAGATTACTTTTATCACCTTTCTGCAAAGAAATGCTTCCAGCCAGCCATGCCAGACTTTCCAAAATTGCAAAGTTTTAAACAGAGAATCCCATTTTGCAGCCAGTCAGCCCTGGAAGCAATATTGACTTTGGCAGCCCAGGAAGGCACTCCTGCTAGTCACAAAAGGAAACAAATCAGAGAGTTTGTTGAGCAGGTCATTGCTGGCCTTCAGCTATGATTTTGGGAGAGGACCCTGTGGAATTGGCATTTGCCAACATCTTTAACTATTTGGCTGGTGCTTATGCAGCTGGTGGCTGCTTTGCGGATTATTTGACAAGGTACATGACAACAACCCTGGTTCCTTCAACAACCCTTGGTCTTGCATTCTTTATGTAGATGAACTGCACCCTGGCAACCAATTGGCAGGGAATTCTAGGAATACATGGGCAATTTACTGTTCATCTGCCTAGTTTGGGGCCACGCTGTCAAATTCTGAAAGTTGGTTGACATTGCTCGGGAAGAGGAGTGAGCAAGTCTCACAGCTGGCAGCCAGCATTGGCCAATGTTTCAGGTTGATCCTGGAGCACATGTTTGACAACAAATATGCTCATCCTCATTCTGAGGTACTTTTACAGGGAGGTCTTAAAAGACTGAAACTCTCTGTTGGATGTTGCAACAGACCAAGAAATCCTGTCCTCGTGGGCAAGGATGCAAGAGGGCAACAAAACCGAGTTAAGAAGGTGGAGCCAGGCTTCTGGGGTTGATTATTCCCAGCATTCACTCTTGCTGAGTGACAAGCTGAAGTCCCAGAACCTTCTGAGACCAATCACCCAATACATGCATGATTATATGCATGGGCTCTGCCCAAATGGTGTGCTGAACTAGGTATTTGTTTTTGTGGATCCAACCGCTTGCTTCCAGTGGTGTGGCTGAGATTTGGAAGGCACATGGCTTTGTGCAACTTTGGGCCCAGCCTGCCATTCACAAATGCAATTTGAAAAGGCTATTTCTGCCCAAAGCAGTGGGAGGCCACAAAAAAGCTGGGAAGTTCAGATGCATCCTCAGAGATTCTGGGTCTGTACCAGGTGCTGGCACACTATGTCCAAATTTGTTGCTTGCCTAATGGCATTTGTCTTCTGGGGTCAACTTGCTCTTTGGCTTGGTGCAAAGTTTTGGACTATTGCCTATCCATCCCTGCTTTGGAAAAGCCTGACCACAAGCAATTGCTTTCATGTGTTGAAGCAGCATTGGAGGCAACTGTTGCAGCTGACTGGTCGGAAGAATTCGAGCCAAAGATGCACTGGTCACTTCATATTATAGTCAAAGTCTCCAGAGGCATGGCCAATTACCTGCATGCTGGACCATGGAAAGGAAGCACAAAGGCATTAGAAAACATGGGAATGTCTTGTGCAACACTACCCATTGGGAAACTTCTCTGCGGAAGTCTGTCATTGCAGGGCACATCTATACATTGGGTGAAGAGTCAAGATTGTTTAGAGAAGGCACCTGCCTACAAAATGCAAAGGGGGCCCCCACAAAGAAGATGACGGCATTCCTATGCAATGCTGGCGTGGTTCCTGTGGGAATGCCTTGCATGCAGAGCTATTGTTGTAAACTTTTTCTGGGGCAACAATTACTTCTGGTGATGTTGTCTGTTTAAACAATGTGGATGGAGGCTCACCAGCTTTCAATGCAGCTCAAGAGCATTGCTTTTTGAAAGTCCCATGTGGTGATGTGGCCCTTGTCGAAAAATATTTGTTCCAGGAAATTTCAAACAAACATCCGGGTCTTGCTTCTTTACAAGAAATCTCGTGTGCTGTCACTTACAATGCTGCCAAAGGCAGGGTGACATGCCTCACCCCTGCATTCTTGCAACTTTGAAGGGACATGCAATTTCCATCCACAGCAAATGTCTTTGGAAAACAAGCTTCGGTGGTATGCCCAACAGCCGCAACGTTTTATGTTTACTAATCTTTCTGAAGCCTGCTGCAAAGCCAAGCGCTGGAAACACTTCAGCTGGGTTTCCGTGAGTTAAATGGCCACAAATCCTGTTGAACTTGCTCTGCACCAAAGCCTCCCAGACCTTCTCCGTTGAACCTGACCTGGCTCTGCACCAAAGCCTCCCGGAACCTTCTCCGGAACCTTCACCAGAACCCTGTTGAACCTAACCTGGCTCTGCACCAAACCCTCCCGGAACCTTCTCCGGAACCCCGGAGCCCTGTTGAGCCTGACCTGGCTCTGCACCAAAGCCTCCCGGAACTTTATCCGGAATCCTGTTGAACCTACCAAAAGGCTCTGGAGGATTAAAAGGATTAAAAAGATTAAATCATTTAATCCTTTTAATCCTTTTAATCCTTTTAATCCTTTTAATCCTTTTAATCCCTTTAATCCCTTTAATCCTCCAGACCTCCCATAATCCCAAGAAAAGCCCAGCAATTTAATTCTTTAAATCCTTTTAATCCTTTTAATCCCCCAAAAGGCTCTGGAGGATTAAAAGGAATTTTTTTTTTTTTTAAAAGGATAAACGGATTTTAACAGGATTAAATCATTTAATCCTTCTAATCCTTTTAATCCCCTAAAGGGCTCTGGAGGATTAAAAGGATTAAACGGATTAAACCATTTAATCCTTTTAATCCTTTTAATCCTCCAGGGACCTCCCAGAATCCCACGAAAAGCCCAGAACATTTAATCTTAAAATCCTTTTAATCCTTTTAATCCTCCAAAAGGCTCTGGAGGATTAAAAGGATTTATTAAATGATGGATGTAAATATTTCTCAAGGGCCTTGGGCCCGGAATCCGGAACCCCTGGAGATTACAAGGATTAAAGGATTAAACAAAAAAAAACAAAAAATATCATTTAATCCTTTTAATCCCCTAAAGGGCTCTGGAGGATTAAAAGGATTAAACGGATTAAACCATTTAATCCTTTTAATCCTTTTAATCCTCCAAAAGGCTCTGGAGGATTAAAAGGATTAAAAGGATTAAATCATTTAATCCTTTTAATCCTTTTAATCCCCCAAAAGGCTCTGGAGGATTAAAAGGATCAAAAGGATTAAATGATTTAATCCTTTTAATCCTTTTAATCCTTTTAATCCGTTTAATCCTTTTAATCCTTTTAATCCTCCAGACCTCCCAGAATCCCAAGAAAAGCCCAGCAATTTAATTCTTTTAATCCTTTTAATCCTCCAAAAGGCTCTGGAGGATTAAAAGGATTAAATGGATTTAAATATATTTCTCAAGGGCTTGAGCCGGGAATTCCGGACCCCCTGGAGGATTAAAAGGATTAAAAGGATTAAAAGGATTAAACATTTACCCATCCTTTTAATTCCTTAAATCCCCCAAGGACTCTGGAGGATAAAAGAGATTAAAAGGATTAAAATCATTTAACCTTTAATTCCTTTAATCCCCCAAAAGGCTCTGGAGGATTTAAAATTAAAAGGATTAAAAGGATAAATGATTTAATCCGTTTAATCCTTTTAATCCTTTTAATCCTTTTAATGCTTTTAATCCTCCAGACCTCCCAGAATCCCAAGAAAAGCCCAGCAATTTAATTCTTTAAATCCTTTTAATCCTTTTAATCCTCCAAAAGGCTCTGGAGGATTAAAAGGATTAAATGGATTTAAATATATTCCTCAAGGGCTTGGGCCGGGAATTCCGGACCCCCTGGAGGATTAAAAGGATTAAAAGGATTAAATCATCCTTTTAATCCTTTTAATCCTCCAAAAGGCTCTGGAGGATTAAAAGGATTAAATCATTTAATCCTTTTAATCCTTTTAATCCCCCAAAAGGCTCTGGAGGAGGATTAAAAGGATTAAATGATTTAATCCTTTTAATCCTTTTAATCCTTTTAATCCTCCAGACCTCCCAGAATCCCAAGAAAAGCCCAGCAATTTAATTCTTTAAAATCCTTTTAATCCTTTTAATCCCCCAAAAGGCTCTGGAGGATTAAAAGGATTAAATGGATTTAAATATATTTCTCAAGGGCTTGGGCCGGGAATTCCGGACCCCCTGGAGGATTAAAAGGATTAAAAGGATTAAAAGGATTAAATCATTTAATCCTTTTAATCCTTTTAATCCCCCAAAGGACTCTGGAGGATTAAAAATTAAAAGGATTAAATCATTTAATCCTTTTAATCCTTTTAATCCTCCAAAAGGCTCTGGAGGATTAAAAGGATTAAAAGGATTAAATCATCTAATCCTTTTAATCCTTTTAATCCTCCAAAAAGCTCTGGAGGATTAAAAGGATTAAAAGGATTAAATCATTTAGTCCTTTTAATCCTTTTAATCCCCCAAAAGGCTCTGGAGGATTAAAAGGATTAAAAGGATTAAATCATTTAATTCTTCAAATCCTCTCAATTATCCAAGAGGCTCTAAAAATTATCAGAATTAACCGGAACAAAATGGTACCTAAAGGTCTCTCGATCATATATATATATATATGTAATATTATTATATTATAAGTATAACTATCCAAGGAAGTTTCAGACTGAATTCTGTTTTGTGCAGGACACGGATTCTTGAATGACGATCAGCATCGATCAAAGCGGCACGATTTTGCCCATACACGCATGGCCGCATGGCATTTTGGGATAATTTGAGAGCACACTATAGAACGGTACGGGGCAGCATGAGGATTTTGCCAATCTCCACAGAGCTCTTCCTTGATTGGCTCTGCAGAACCAGTATGTTTTCGGTTTCCAAAAAAGAAGGACACAGCATTCCTAGAGTCTTCACCCAAATCTTGTTTGAGTTCTTGGTATCTCCTTGTCAATGTTTGTCAATGGTTTGCTGTATCGTCCAGCTTGAGTCAGTCTCGCTCAGTGGGACTTTTTCGATAAGGCTCAGTGCGAGTCCCTGCGCTTCAAGCTGATCGGTGGCCTGGCTGTGCGCCGTGCCTGCTATGGAGTGCTCAGGTGCCACAAAGTGCATGTCAGTCTTCAGGCCCCTGTACTATACAACAGGAGTGGATGTAATTCATTGTAACTGCATATCATGTATATAATATATTGTGTATCTTACGTATATGCAGATATATGCCTCCCACCCTCCAGGATCAGCAGTTTGGTGGTCTATCATACTCAGCAGGTTACCGCATAGATATATACAAGGCACATAAATGTAAAAACATTCAATCACAGGACCGAATTGCTCAAATGCAACAAGTCTTTTCTCTTGGTCATTTGTCCATGGAATGCTCCAGAATTTCATTAACAAACACATTCCCACAACTTGGCATGTTCAACATGTTTGGTGGGTGGGCAGTACCCCTCACTAATTCTTGTCGCAGAGAGTGGGGGTTGAAATTTGCTTTGCCTTGGTTTGCCAACGGGGTGCAACCCTGCACCACAGTCCAGGAGAGGACGGTTGTTACCCCGAATTATCTCGACAATTTCCAACTACATGTCTTGTTTTGTCCTGCGCACGCTTTCATTTTCATGTCATTTTCATGTCCTTGTTTGTTCTTGCACAAACACACTGATGCACCCTATACCTTTGGTCTGTTTAGATCCAAGTCATGTACCTGTGCCCCTGTTCAGATTCATCATGGAGAACGGTGCCAAGGGTGTGGAGGTCATCATCAGCGGCAAGTTGCGTGCGCAGCGTGCCAAGGTCAGGGATTTTTGAGTTTTGCGTCGGGGTGTCTTTGTCCAAACAGTCGGTTTTTGCAGGTTTTTGAGTTTCGATGGCTTTAGTGGAGGTAAATGTTCATGATTGATCACAATTGTTCATGATGACAATCATTTTATAGATATTCTGGGAGATGAATTTGCGCTTTGAGAGTCCCCTCTGTTAAATGACAAATACAAGGAAAACGAGTTGAAACTTCACCGCTTCTGGCTCCAGGCAATGAAGTTTAGACAGGGCTATTTGATCTCCACTGGAGAGCCGAAGAGGCACTACATCTCGGAGGCTGTTCGACACGTGCAGATGCGACAGGGAACCATCGGCATCAAGGTGGCTTGGTTTTCTCATGTTTTCTCACTTCAAGCTTCGTTATCCTTCAGAATTCCCACTGTTCACATCCGTTCACTTGCCAGGGATGTATAATGATGTATATATATATACTTTTGTGGAGCTTAGCAAGGTGGGCGAAATTGAAGCATGTTTTTCTAACCTTCTCCATTTTGTTCTGTTTGTTTGGTGGATGGCACAGCTTGCTACCCGTAGAAAGGCACTACTTAAAAAGGTGTAGGGCCAGGTGCATACTGTCAAGCGATTGCGCATTTGCATGCATTTGCCAAATGCGTTTGTCGATGGATTTTGAGGTTAAGATCATGATGTCGCACGATCCTGAAGGTGGGAATGGGAATGGTTGTGCTGCCTAATATGCTTGAGTCAAACTTGCACAGTCGATCAAAGTCCATATCCATGAGTTCCATTTTCATTTTCTTCTGAGAGCAATGTCCCCGGAATTCTGCGCCACAAGAGATGTCACTGACTGCGCGCTGGGTAGATAAGCAGATGTGAGCACGCGCCCGCGCCAGGCAAGATGGGACCAAAGATGCAGTTGCCTGACAATGTGGTTGTCCATGAGCCAAAGGAAGAGGCGGTGCCAATGATGCCACCCCCAGAGCAAGAGGAGCAGCAGTATGGCGGCGGCTACAACCAGGGCTACAATCAGGGATACAACAACCAGGGCTACAACCAAGGCTACAACCAGGGCTACCAACAACAGGAGGGTTACTGATGCTTGGTCAGACTTATTTGCATGAGACCAAGCTTTCTCGAGCCGATACTTTTCACTTGCTATGCTGAGATGATCAGCGGATTTTTTCCTGTTGCTTGCACTGTTCCTTCTATGTATTTTTCTAAAATCATCGGAATTTGATGCCAAATGCAAAAGATCTGACCAGTTGTTGAGCTGATAGAACACAAGTCGCATTCTTTTTTTGCCTTCGAGTCTCTGTTTTATTCTTCAGAAAATGCTGAGGAGATGCCTGAGTAGTGCCAAGATCTTGTTGACGATGCGGATGCGGCGGATAAAAGAACAGCAGCAATTGCTCCGGGAGTTGCGTGGTATTGGTGATTATTTTTCCAGAGACTGCGCACAAAATTGCATGGACAGATGTTGTGTCACGATGATGTTTGATACAGGTACTTCCATAAAGTATATACATATTCTTATAATATATATACATATGTGAATGTATCACGTCTATGGATACAAACCAGCGAAGTCAGCGTAAATCAACTTCAAACTTAAAGTACCCAGAGATTGCAAAAGTCCAGACCTACTTCAGCTGCTGGATACAATTCATGCGCTGTGTGGACATTTACAGTACACAGTTCATGAAACGAATAGGTGGATTTGTTCAGATTATGTGACCTTCAAGAATGGAAGATGTTCGATGGTAGTTTTCGATATTGCTTGACGGACTGCAATGATGTTCACCAGCCATTCCTCAACAGTTGAGTTCACTACATGTTTGACACGGCAGAGCTAGCAAGATACAGGTTCCGACTTGAAAGGAGTCGAAACAGGGCTAAAAAGAGGCCATTATCGGATATAGCAGTATTTGATGTTAAAAGGATGTGGGTATTGGTTTTGTTTGGACTTGGACTAGACAAGCAGATCTTGGTTTGTGCAGTGTCACAGTGTGTTCATGCTTTGATTCCTTATGAACGTAACTTTCTTAATGGCATTAGATATCTGAATAATTTTGAAAACACAGCAGATGATACCGACATACTGTACATGCTGTTGCATGCCAGTATATTCTGATACCCTTCGAAACTGTTCCCCTCAAGTGAGGCTGCAGTGTGGTGGATTTCTTTTCCGATCTCAAGTTGTCTGCACGTACTACACATGTAAAGGGGCTCTGAATTAGCTGCAACATGCTGCAACATGCAACTCTTCATCCTGCCAAGGGACGAGCACTTGCGACAAGCTGCCCTTGATGCAGAAGTTCAAGCAAAAGTGGCTCAACAAGAACTGGAAGAGGACTGTCAAGCTGAGTCAAGCTGAGTCAAGCTGAGTCAAGCTGAGTCAAGCTGAGTCAAGCTGAGTCAAGCATCAGGAATGAACAATTCAGAATACCATAGAATACCATTGTAGAATGCTTTAGATATTCTTGATTATATTTTGACCTGATGACAATTTCACGCGAAGTTGTTCTCCCCACCGTGGTGGAGACGACTAAACGGGCAACAGCATCGTGTAGCGTTGCTATGGACGTCGTTGCATCACGACCAACTTGCCGGCGTGATTCAATGTGAACTGATGTGCGAACTGATGCGAACCATTTTTTTTTTGCACTCCCCCTTAATTCCATCACTACTGTTCACTACGATGCCATGAGGGGGTAGGGGACAAATTTTGTTCCAAGGGACTTACGACGCATTTCAATTTCGATATTTGCATAAAGGAAAAACTCAGAGATAGTTTGTGAAACAAAAGCAAACCACACTACCTGACTGGTGTTCAGCTGCATGCGCTTCGCACTTTTTGTTTTTTCATGTTTTTTCCTGCTTCTGTCAAGCTCTGCTTTATAATTGGCTGATGCATTCCTTTGACACCCTGGGCGACAAATTCACAGCAAAGACGAGGCTGACCCTCTCTGGCACGTCCCATCAACTTGCAAGTGTACAGCAACCTTTTAGGGCTGGGCACTTACATACAAAAACTTTGTTCATCCCTGTTCAAACGGCGACTTCAGCTGAGTAAGGATATGTTCGTCACAACGACTCTTGCCACCAGAATGTCGATGGTTTCTTCGCTCGTTCTCTCTCTGTCTCTCTCCACTCCCTTTCCCACCGGCAGCTGGATCGATGACGTATCTAACACAAAAGCGATTAGACCTGGACTCTTTTAGCATCCTTGCGGAGAGCAGGAAAACATTCCAGGAAAAGTGCTGAAAGTGATGAAATGCGGTACGTTTGTTTTTAGATTCACGACGATTCAAACGATCAGTCGCAGTGCAAACGAAGTGATGTGCGAGGAACTGCGCAGCCTGCTCATTCCAAACTCGCATTACCCCCTGTGCGAACCTTTAATGTCCCAAGAAAACAGGTGCGCTTCAGCTTCAACTTTATCACTTCTTTATTCAACTTTATTCATTTCATTCATTTTGCATTGCAGAAACGAATCTCTATCGATCATCGCCTCGGTGGGAGCGCTGGGCGGCTCCAAAGTCGAGCAGCGGCTCAGCACTCCAACGGAGTCGGCAAGTTTGGCCAGGATATGCCAGAATGCTTTCCCTCATTGGAATTGGTTGCAATCCGTTGCAATCGGATTTACGGCCTCTCTTTAGGGCCTCTTCGCAAACGTCCTAGAGTTTTGATACATTTTAAAGTGATGGCATTTTAGATCTTTTTAGTGAATACGAAAACAATCGAAAACATCCCTCCAATGCATCATGACTCATGACGTAAACCCTGAACTTCACCGGCTACGATAAACATGACCCGCGATGAAGAAACCAAATCTATACACTTCGCCCAAAGACTGACACAGATGGGACAAACCAAAGAACATTTTGGGCGACAACACACTCGTGCCTCCAAACCAACTAGTGTTCGGCGAAAGACACACGCGCGTCAGCGAAAGTTTGGGTACAACAAAAAGATACAAAAAGTGCACTGGATTCTGTTCGGTGTTCTTGGATGTTCTTGAACCTTGGTGTTATCATCTGATTTCATTCCTGTCGAACCTCCCAGACTTTTTGGATCTGATATGATGTATTGTGAAACTGTGGGCAGCGGGGTCAGACATGAATGGTAGGGACAGTTGTCAAAGGCGTGTCGGCGCAAACGCTCTAACAAAACCTCTCCGGATCCGTCCCATCGGCTAAACCGGGAAACATTGGGAAACCATCATTGGACACTGCCAACAAATGAACAAACAACCTTTACAGGTTTAGTCGCAGGGGCCGTGAGAGCATTAAACATCAGTAAACTCTACCAGTAGTACCGCACAAGGCGGGGGCGGAAGTTTCAAAAATAGGAAACCTATAGGAGAGATTGGCTGTTGTGAATCAGGGATGGCAGAGCGAAGCCACTGATGGACCGAAAGGTGCTTGAGGTCTCCTCTCTTTCTCTCTCTTTCTCTGACTATCTACTTACCTACCAGCCTATCTTCTATGTATCTATCTATCTATCGATCTATCTATCTCTCTCTTTCTCTCTTTTATCTAATTACCTATCTACCTATCTACCTATCGACCTATCTATCTACCTATCTACCCATCTATCTATTTATCTATCTATTTATCTATCTATTTATCTATCTATCTATCTATCTATCTATCTATCTTCTATCTATCTATCTATCTATCTATCTATCTCTCTCTCTCTCTCTCTCTCTCTGTCTCCCTTTCATCTGTCTATCTGTCTAGCTGTCTACCTGTCTGACTATCTATCTATCTATCTACCTATCTACCTACCTACCTACCTACCTATCTCTCTCTCCATCTATCGATCTATCAGTTTTTTACACTTTTCGACATCTGAACCTCCAAAAGTGGTCTGAGACCGTCAGTTTTTAACACTTTTGACTTGGAAATCTGCTTCGCGCCACAGTGGCGTGCACTTTTTCGACATCTCAACTTCCAAAAGTGGTCCGAACCTGGTGTGTTTTGTACATTTTGACTTGGAAATGTGCTTCGCGCCACAACGGCGTGCACTTTTTCGACATCTCAACTTCCAAAAGTGGTCCGAACCTGGTGTGTTTTTAACATTTTGACTTGGAAATGTGCTTCGCGCCACAACGGCGTGCACTTTTTCGACATCTCAACTTCCAAAAGTGGTCCGAGCTGGTGTGTTTTGTACATTTTGACTTCGAAATGTGCTTCGCGCCACAACGGCGTGCACTTTTTCGACATCTCAACTTCCAAAAGTGGTCCGAACCCCCGTACATTTTGACTTCGCTTCGCGCCACAACGGCGTGCACTTTTTGGACATCTCAACTTCCAAAAGTGGTCCGGAGCTGGTGTTTGTACATTTTGACTTAGAAATGTGCTTCGCGCCACAACGGCGTGCAATTTTTCATCTCTCATCTGGCCAGCTGGCTCCGCACCCGCCGCTTTAGCGAGCCTACTTTTGACCCTCCGGAGCCACAAATCATTGGAAAAACACAGTGTTTCGCGACTTTCCTACCTTTTCGCGCATCTGTATCTTCTGTCCTCTTACTCTTTCTCTTCTGATCTTCTCTCTTCTAATCTTCCTCTTCTCTGTGCCTCTGCCCTGCTCTGCTTTTCATCTCTCCATATTGTCGGAAGTTTGACTTCTAAACTTCCTTCGATAATGTTTTGACAACCTCTTGCTGTAGAAGGCGAAGGAAAATCGAGAAAAAAACAACTACAACAATCTAAAACAACGAAGGAAATCA